CCCGGGGCCGCCGGCGCCCCCCGGCCCAGCGAGGAGCTGCCGTCGAGGGCCAAGGAGTTCGCGTTTTCCCAGGGCTTTGCCAGCTCCTACCAGGCGGTGCCCGGTTATTTGGACATGTCCGTGGTGCCGGCGCTCGGTGGCCACTCGGAGCCGCGGCACGACGCTTTGCTTCCCATGGAAGGCTACCAGCACTGGGCTCTTTCCAACGGTTGGGACGGGCAAATGTACTGCTCCAAAGAGCAATCGCAATCGGCGCATCTCTGGAAATCACCTTTCCCAGGTAGGCTCCCCTCGGACACTCTCCTGCCTCCTAACCGCCGCCTCCCACCTATACATGGGGCATGGCGCATATGGAGCGTGTGCGGATATAGGTATCTCCCCTGGGTGCTTGTATATATAATTAAAGGGCAAGAAATCGCTTAGGAATGCCTCCCGTGCGAGGCAATGTGTATGAACATTTAGGGAAAAGAAGGTGAAGCAATCGTTTCGGAATCAAAATGCACGCCGTGAGCTTGCTTGGAAAGTAACTTTGCCATTAAAATCTCCCTTTCTTCGCCTCTTTTCCCCTTCTTCTTGTTGCATTGCGTTTCTTTGGCTTTTCTTTTAATTTCCCCTCTGCTCCCCATTTCTCTAGAGCTAAAAAAATAAAATGGGGGGGGGGAGGAAAAAATGCTTAAAAATAAGTAAAACCCCCTCCTCTCTAGCGCTGCTTCACTTCCCAAACACACAGCGCCCGGTGCGGCTACAGTAAATCACAGCGCAATTACCCACGATTAGAGCAAGAGGCGTCAAGTGACAAATGAAGCTGTCCCGGAGGGGACGCGACGAGGACAAGAGCTGGCAGCCACCCCCTTGCCGCCTGGTCGGGCATCCTGCTGCGCTGACAACCCCTTAAATGCATAATAATAATAATAGTAATAATAATAATAATTTAAAAAGGAATTGGAGCATCATCTTTTGTCGGGCCACCAAGGGAACAAGTCACTTCGTGGCCACTTGCTCCATTTCACATTGGCCGAGCTCCCTTAGTGCCCTCAATGGGAGCCAGAAGGAAGGTGATGGTGACCCGGGGAATCCCATCTTTTTGGTGGGGGCGGAAGGGGAAGCTGCCAGGAGAAAAAGAAAGATTCACCCAAAAAAAGAGGGAGGAAAACCCCGCTCAGATGGAGATGGAGAGCAAGGATGGGTCCTGGCTGTCTGGGGGGACATGCGGTTATTTATTTTGCTCAAATTCTGGACAAAGAGGGCTTAGGAAGAGCATTTCTGGGGAGAATGCGGGGAAAATTTAGGCCGAGGATGCCTTTGAGATGGGGGAAAACACAGCGTCTCTCTTGGCTATAGAGATGGGAATGTGTGATCTGGGGCTCTGGCCATTGAAACCTTGGTTTGGGGAGCCCCCAGCCCCATCGCTTCCTTTTGGCCTGCCTGATGCCTGTCCTTGGAGGGCATTTCTGTCCCCAATCCGCAGCCCTCGATGGGCCTTTGCACCAAGACCCTCCTAAATTCCCTTGCGCTGGCAAATAGCGAAGCCCCCAGTCCCAAAGCACCTTTAGGTGCTTCCCAATCAGCCCGTGTCAGCGATAATTGGGCATCGGGGCTCACCAAGCAGAGAGGCAGCGCCGCCTTCCCTCGCTTCGCTGGGTGACACCCCCGCAGCCCGTCGAGGGCAGGGGGAGAGGGCTGAGGGTGCCCTTAGGGTTTCAAGGGGGTCTTTGGGTGGACCAGGATGGTCCCCGTATCTCTGGCTTCCACCTCCCGGAGAGGCCCTTGGCGGAGCGCGGTGTATCTCACCACCGGGAAAACGCCTCCAGAGAGGGGATTTGGGGGTGGGTTTGCACCCTCCGAGGGGTTCCCGATGCCCCAGGAGGGTGCGGGGTTCGCGCTGGTCCCGCAGCGCGGCCATCGCGGGTGCGTCGCGGCGGCGGGGGGGAAGCGCCTGCGAAAACTTCCTGCATACAAAAACAGGGGGTAAATAAGTGGAAGGGGGGGAAAAGAAGGATGAAGCCTTGTCTAAAATGCAACTGCTTGGAAGATCTCTTCAATTTTCTTTGCACTTCGAGCTGCCCCGTGTTGATCGGCTTTGACAGCCGAGAAAACCACTCTTTCGCCAAGTGATCGTGTTAATATTTCCCTGGCTGTCCACCTTTCGCCTTTCTTTCTCCCTCTCTCTCCCTTTCCCCTCTCCTTTTCTGTCTTATTTTCCCCCCTCTACTTCATTTTTCTCCTTATTCCTTTCTTTGCTTCCCCGACGTGGAGAAACCACCATTCAGCGGCCAGGGATGAAGTAGCATCGCTTATTCTTCTCTACTTAAAAAATATATATTATTTGTAGTTGTATTTACGTATTTATTTGCTTAATGGTTTATTTGCTTATTTTGCTTGCAGACGTGGTCCCTCTGCAACCCGAAGTGAGCAGCTACCGCAGGGGGCGGAAGAAAAGGGTCCCTTACACGAAAATCCAGCTGAAAGAGCTGGAAAAAGAGTACGCAGCCAGCAAGTTCATCACCAAAGAGAAGCGGAGGAGGATTTCGGCCACCACCAACTTGTCCGAGCGACAAGTGACCATCTGGTTCCAGAACCGGAGGGTCAAGGAGAAGAAGGTAGTGAGCAAATCCAAGACAGCGCACCTCCATGCAACCTGACAGTGGACGATCTGGGAAAAGGAAGGCGAAGCAAGAATGGCAGAAGCAGAATATTTATCCGGTAGTTGGTCTGAGCATCTCATTGGACCTCTGCTGAATGGAAATTATTTGAAAAAGCGACATTAAAAAACAAACAACAACAAAAAGGCATCCCCACCCACACTAATACCCAACGCATCTTTGATTTATCCCTCCACCACATTCGCTGACTGTGAACACCCGCTCCTTGCGCTGAGAAATCCATTGGTGAGGTCCAGCTGTATGTATTTTTTAACAAATGATAAGATAAAGGTGTAGTTGCGTTAAGAGGAGATGAACTCCCGAGTGTCACCTTGTCACACGGTGTAGCCAGGTCCCCTCTGCGGGGATGAGTCTTGCGTCCTTTGACTGTTTCACACCCCGATGTAAAGTGTATGGAGAACAAAGTTGCATCAGCTTTGTCTTCTTTCATCACTAGGGACTGGAAAAAAATCCCCAGATAAAGCTGCTATAGTGGGAAGAAAAAAAATCTCCATATCAAACTAACAAGCACTAATTTAGGGCACAGGCGAAAATGAGCTCCTTCTGCCACACTATTTTTGGGCCTCGTCTCACGAGGGTTTATCCTCCTCTGCCATAAAACTGGAATGTCTGTTCTCCGCTGGCAATGTGGAAAATGCAGAGTGTTGTCTTTGGGTTTTGTTTGGCTCCCTTTCCCCCTTCCTCTAAACCAACTAATTATCTGCAGTGTTCTGTCGCTATGTAAAAGCATCATTTTTTTAATGTCTTGTATATGTATATAATATTGTGGTGTCCAGATGAGATGTATCGAATGCAAGATTACATTTCCGAAAAATAAATAGATTTTTTTTTCCCGGAGAAAGGGCATTCTCCAGCTGCTTGTGCCCCTCTTTGCCCTTTTAAGCAGCGCAGCCCTTTCCCCTTTTAATCCCCCGTCCCGAGACCCGCTTAGGGGAGGCTGCTCTTTGCCCAGGGAGGGCGAAAGCAGCCCAAATTATAACCACAGCCCTGCATGTCGACCTGAGCCCTGAAGATCTGGGGAGAAAAGAGCAGAAAAAAATAAAATGAAAGGGAGCCCCAACCCCACCGCCCCGGATGCGGGACGCGGATGCGTATGCCCCAAGGCGGGCAGCTTCCCACGGTAAGTAGAAAAGAGGGAAAAAAGATAAATAAATGCGCGGAGGACGAGTCCAGCCATAAGTTTCTTGTTTATTTTTTTATTTCTTTTTTTTTCCTGTCTTTATTTTCCCCAGCGCCGCAATTATCCACCCGAGCAGGGTGAAAACGCGATGACTTTCCGGAGACGCTTTTAATCTCCTTAAATCCGCCGGGTGCGAGAGGGCTCTGCCTCAAACGATGCTTTTTTTTTTTTTTTTTTTTTTCGCTAAACCTGTTTGACTCTGCTCCGACCCCAGATCTAAATCTCGCAACCTCCGCGCCCGCGGAGGGAGCAGATTACATCCAAAGACGCGCATTGCAATCGGCCTTAATATGTTTTAGATTGAATCAGCTCGTTAAATGATCCAAAAAGAATTACTATAATAATAATAAAAAACTGGGGGAGTGACTTTTAAAATTATATAACCGGCAACAATGTTATTGCTGCTGAAATGTGCGTTAAGTGCGCGCGGACATACTATATATATATTTGAGTCAGCGGAAGAACTAGCAGAAGCAAGCAATATAAAGTCACCCGGGGGAAAATTAGCATGGATGTCCGCATAAATAAGTGTACAGATATGGTAGATGTTCAAGTTCATGTGCAGAAGTGCGCTTGTGTGCCTATATATACCATATGTGTATATATATACTCACAAGCATATGCCCGTGTATGTCCGTTGCTTTGCATGATCTGGGCATCGTTATAGACACGTATATGTGTGTGAAGCATAGCGGCATGCATGTAATTTATATAAGTGTTTATTAAACCACTCTGCATATCTCTGTGTATATATAAGTATGTTATAGATAACATGCAATATCTTAAAACTACTGGTTTATAGGTATATATTTGCCTGGACATATATAAGCACAGCAAGCTATATCATTATATGAAGTGGTGTGTAGCTCTCATGCATGTTCCTCTATAGAGATGTGATTTCAATGGTATGTGCGCATGTACAGAGGGGATATATAGCTTTATAAACTATATATAATAACAAATGATAGTTATATACGGAGCAGAGGAAGGTTATATACTGAGGATGAGCATAGATATGTACAGAAGATGCGTAGACATTATGCACCTCGCGCACCTTGGAGCCTATATTGCAAAGGCAAAAGTTGGGAAAGCCCCATAGGTTTGGAAATTTCCTACAGTGATCCCGAAATTCCCGAAAGGTGCAAGAGAGCCGCGGCTGGCAGCTTATTTTGCGCGGCTCCGTGTCCCGGCCTGGATCCCCCCGCTTCCACCTTCCCATCCCTGTGGGTGCCCTTGCAAAAGGGGGATTTTCTCCACCCTGTGGATTTAGCAATCCGTATTTGGATTTGGGAGCTGATGCGCGGAGGTGCTTGTGGAGGATTGATCTGATACAATTGAAATTTTATTTAGTTTACAAGGAAAGAACTTCAGTGGTTGGGGAAAAAAAAAGCAAGGATTTGATTTTTTTTTTTAAATACCCTAGGGTAGTAAATGTTGCAATACTTTCGGAAAGCCATCCCCACTTCAGAGATGAATAAGGGTATTTTTAGTGGGATCATGTCTTTTCAAAAAATGAAGGAAGGAAGAAAAAGAAGAAAAAAAATAAACCTGCGCTGCACGGTCCCGGGCCGGGCAGCGAAAATTCACGACTGCAGCACAATAGCAGAAATATGTATTTTAGATTAAAAAAAAAAAAAAAAAAGCTCACCCTAGTGCTGTGTGTGCAGACATTGAAATGCATAAATGCAGTTCCAGACAAGCCCAAATCCGACATCCCGACAGCAAATACATTGCTCGGTGCGTGTCTATCTCTGTGTTCTCCAAGTCTTCCTTATTCTACCTGATTTTGTGACCAAACCTGGGGGTAAAGAAAAAGAGAGAGAGAAAAGAAAACAGGATTATTAAACTCGGTTTATTGAAGGGGGCTGCGCAAGCATGGATAAATGTTCCTGACTTTTTTTTTTCCGGGGATTACTAAGTCCGCGTTATTCGTGGATCCTTGGGAGTCGGTTTCCCATTATGGGCGTTTTTTTTTTCCTTTTTTTTTTTTTTTTTTTGTCAGCTGCGGCTTGATTTTGTGCGGGGAAGAAGGGGTTGTGTGTCGGTTTGGTTGTCGCTCGGGCTTTCAGATCGCGTGGGAAGATTGAAAACACCAGCAGCAAAAAGAAAACAGCAAAGAAGAAACAAGGAATTCATTCATTGCGGCTGGGGGCACGGAGGCTTTTGATGGTCTTCGCCGGCAGATAGGGTGAGACAGTGAAACGAGGCGCTTTACTCGCATGGCCCGCAGCTTCCCCCGAGTTTTTAAATATTTTTTATAGCTCTCATTGCTTAAAAAATAGCTCTCGTGGTGGAAAAATACCCCCTTGCCCTCCACACTCGCACCACCGGCAGCACTTGGCGTTGTCCGTCCCTTTCAAGCCGTCGGTGAGGGAGGAAAATGTGTTTTGAGGGCTAGTCGGAGAAAATAAAATGCCCTCACTTCATTTGCCACCTAATTCTTTCTTCTTGATCACGGACATAATGTTTGCTTAAGAGAAAATTATAGAGAGAGAGAGAGTAAAAAGAGCAATATATAACCAATGGGTTTGGTCACCCATGCTCTTGCAATATCATGGTTTTTGTAACAGGCACTTGCCTAGGGGAAAGGAAAAGCAAGAAAATAAATAATAATAAAAAGACTTGCATGGTGACGCCAGCAAATATGCAAAGCCTCAGAACAAGCGCGTTTTTCCCCTATGATGAACTTCCACTGGCGCGGAGGTGCAAAGCCTGGGCATTGCTCACCTCACTGCCTTCCTTCCCTCGTCCTTCTTTCCCCCTCTAGAAAATAAATTGATTTTTTGCTCACCTTTTTCCTCCCCATTTTCGTCGCCTTCACGGCTCCTATGTCAGCGAGGCGTGACGTCACTCCTGCATATACCCTTGACCGTGACTAGGCAGGGGTTGACCTTGACATCACTGCTGCGGGCACAACCAGCGCGGGGACCCTCACCCTTGATCTTCCCCTCACCAGGCACCACCGAGCAGCTCCGGCTCCTGTTTACAGATAAACAAGGTGTTATTTGAAGTCTAGACAGCCGGGCTAATGGCCAACAATAAAGTCCTGAAAAGGAAGTTTCCCAAGTTTAAGCCTTTTCTTCCCTTTGTATTCGGGGACTTTGAATAACTTCCCAACCGCAGACTTTATGGTTTAAAAAAAAAAAAAAAAAAAAAAAAGGACGAGGGATTTCCCTCTCCCTCTTGTTTTTTTTTTAATATTTTTAAATTTTATTTTGGTTTCCTGACATTTTCTTATTTACCTATTTATTTATGTCCTGCTCACGTTTGCATACCCTATTTATTTATTTATCTTCAACTTCAATGCATCCTCCAAAGACCGTTTTCCAGCTCTGGAAAGGGGGAAGATTCCACCGGGCTCCAGGCTGAGGTGAGTGTGCGATAGCTCTTTGCTCTTTCTGATGATAACAAAAGCCTTGGCCTTAAAAATGTATGGGTATTTAATTAAATAAAAGGGCCCCTTTCAACAGCCAAGGGAAACACCCAAAGAGTTTTGATAAATTATTTCTTGGGACACTGCTGACAGCCGTCAATGTGGGTGCGTGGGTGCGCACACAGCCCACACACTTCTATAACACGGTGCTTTCGTGCTTAGCAAACGCCCTGAGCGGTGCTGCTCGCTTTCAAGCCCCTGAGTTGAGGAGAAATTATTATTTTTTTAGATAAATATCCCCTTTCTCTCTCCCTCTCTTTTTTTTTCTTTTTTTTTTCTTTTTTTTTTCTCTTTCTCTTTATCGCCTCCACTTGGGCGGGAAGTTGCTGCCTTGGCAAAAGAGGGGTTGCTGAGCTGCTCTAGGCGACTCTTGGAACAAGGGAATGTTTCAACAACTCTTCCCATTGCCTCAAACTTTCTCCTCCCTCGGAGTCAGGGACATTGCAGAAGTAAACTCGGGTTTCTGGGGCTCTTCCATGGCGATATGAAAACTAGTCGTGAAGTCTAGACCAAGGGCGTTTCCATCCCAAATCCAGAGCAGAGATGCAGAGGAAGCAATTTTCCACCGAAGCAGGGCACAAACCTTTGACTGATTCAAAAAATCAGTTTACATGAAGCTAAGAGGAGGAGAAGATCCACCACTGGCAAAGCTGGGAATGTGGAAAAAAATATTTATAAGGATATACCCAATACCCAGCATTTAACTATTAAGTGCACTGAGAAAAGCCTCAAGAGGGGAGGTTTCCTAATTCTCCAATTTACTGCCTTTAAAATGGAACCTGCCCCGGGATATTTGTACATAGGATGAAAGTGTTTGAGATATGTATTTATTTATTTATATTTTATTCTCAGAACTTACCACATTCCCATATTTATAAATACCTATATATATTCCCCATCTCCTTCATATCCCATTTAGCGACCATCACTCCATAAGTGTGTGTATATATACCCACACACATATATATGTATATATATATATATACACATACACACTATCTTACACACTTATAGATATATAAGGTCTACATTAGACATGTGTTTACTACATCAGGAAAAAAACAGCCAGGACGGGCTTAAATGATATATAGCTAAGCCAAAATAAGGGTCCGGTGGGCTTGCCAAAGCCCATCTCTATTAGATCCCACGTGTGGTCCCTCTCCGTATTTATTCTCAATACTTTGTTTCTGACCCTGGCAGCTAACTTCTTGTCCGAGTCAAGGCGAGTCGGGTTTTTTTTTTCTTTTTTAAACAAAAAGAAAAAAAAAATCCCATCCTACTTGGACTGAAATTTATTCGGGCAGAAAAGCTAAGCAAACAACCTGAACACGCACAGCCACACAGGCTCCTTCTCTCCCTTTTCAAGCAGAAAGGCGAACCATATATATTTTAGATATTTTAGACTGCGATTTGTTCCTCTCTAACAGGGTTTATTCTCTCTCTCTCTTTTTCTTTTTTCTTTCTTTCTTTCTTTTTTTTTTTGGGAGCAAATCGTAAGAGGGGTAAGTTCTTCCTATTTGAAACGTAAATATTTTTGCTGCGGCCATTCGTCTGGGGCCTTTCATATTGATTTTCTTTTTATTCCTTTATTATTATTATTATTATTGCAAGAAACCAGGCTGGGAGGAAGAAAGAGCCTGTTCATATAGAGCCCTGCGCCGAGCTCAGCCCTGCGGGCTGCAGAGGAGGAGGCTGAAACCCGGCAGAGGGGAAGGGGGGGATTTGTTTTCTCACTGCTAAAATTGTGGGGGGGAAACTGGGGACAGACATAGTGCCAAAGCGGGGGACAGAGCAAGGCAGAGTGGAACTAGACCTGATTAGGGGTTATTTCCCCCCTCCCCGGGCTCCTCTCAGCGCAATGACTGATGCTCAACCGAGAGAGTCATTTGCATAAGATGTGGATCCTATTTGCTACACTAGACAGTGACCTTGAACTGAGACGTTGCAACCTTCCTTTTGCTCCGTCTTTTTCTTTCACTCTTTATTCTATTTAATTATTATTTTTAAGGGGTCCCCTACTCGGAGGTGGCCACTGCCCTGGGCAAGGAGCATCTCTCCCCTACTTCCCAAGGAGGAAAATTTGCTGAAATTTTCGTGGACGAGTGGAGGGCCTGGAGGAAAACAATCCCTCCTCCCCCAGCACCACCACCCCGCGGAGATTATGAAATATTTGGGTCGAAAAGGTCCCACCTGAAATCGGAGTCGGCTGCTAACGGGAAAAGCCACGCGATTTCTTGCACAAAAGGCTGGACAACTTGTTTTTTACCTTTATTTATTTCCAATCTACGTTGGGAGATTTCCCAGAGCAGCAGTGCCAGAGCCTCAAGCTGGAGGGCTCGGCTCAGGGTTTCTCTTTGGAGCAGTGCTAAGCTCAGCGCTGTGTTTCCAAACATAAACTGCAAGAAAAAAAAATAATACAAAATAAAATACATTTGGAATGCGGGAGAGATTCCTGCGGAAATGCGGAAGCTTTGCTAAAGAGTCCCGGCATTTGTTTTTCTGTTGTTGTTCCTATTCGGTTTTATTCCCTCCCCTCCTCCTTGGACCTGCTTTCTGCTTGCAGCGCTTTGCTCCGACGCTGATTTTTCCTGCTGGAAAGGAAGGCCACCCGAGCAGGGAGCTCTCCCTTTATATCTGAGCAGGGCTATAGCCTTTCTTGTCTCTAAAAGAGGGAGTCGCCGGGGCTTTCCTGCCTCTCTCTTGCTCTGTGCCCATCCTGGCAATATCCCCCCCATGCAGGACTCGCTTTGCGATTCACTTGCTCTGCAGCTCAGCCCCGCAGCTGCCTCCTTTGAGGTCACTGGGAGCTTATATATATATATTTGTATATAATTAATTTGCATTATTTCTTTCTGCAAGAAGAAAAGTAATCAAATTCAGCAAAGAAGATAAGGCCGAATGCCTAGCCACTCTTTTGAGGCTGAAGTATCCTTTTTCTTTTATTTTTTTTTCCCGGGCCCTGTAAGAGGACAAAGCACAGCACCCTGGAACCGTCTTCTGGGGGGAATTTCGAACAGAAAGAGCAAGGGATTTCTTTTTTTAATTATTTTTAACAGGAAAAAAAAAAGAGCACAAAGCCAATTCTTATGGCCACCTCCAGCGATCACGTGTTCATTTTTTATATAAACTCTTCCCTTCCCCGCTTGCCCGGCGTTGGAAACGCTTATTCCGCACCGAGGAGACACGCTGGGAGAAACTGCGAGCAGCTCCGCGCTTATACCTGCAGGGAGAAAAATTCCTTGGCAAGGTTTAAAAAAGAGAGAGAGAGGAAAAAAAAAGTCCTAAACTTTCATTCTAGCAAAATATTTCTAGTAGTCGTATTTCTTCCTTTGCAGGCAAGGCGTATAGGAAGGTATGCAAGTGTCTCTCCAAGGTATGTATGTAGCATAGCTATAGATGTGCCAGGGAGAAAAAGAAGCGGGTAAACGAGGAAAGAAAACAAGAAAGAAAGAATAAGGGAAAAAAGGGGGGAAAAAGGGGGAAAAAAAGGAAAAATGGGGGAATTCAAGTCTTAGGAGCTGTCCCTGGAATATAAATATACACCTAAACACCTGAATTAGATATTTTATTGGCACCTGATTTTTTTATACGGCTGGGGTGGGGGGGCGGAATTCCAACCCTTATATTTTTCTATAGCAGGGAAAAGAAGGCAAGGGGGAAAAAACGGGGCTCGGGGACTGTCTAAATTAGAGGAGAGGGGGTTGGGGGCTGCCTGGGGGGGTAGTGGGTCCGTGGGCCGGGAGGGGGCGGATGCGCCCCCGCGGAGCGGATTTTTTTTTACCTCTACAGCGATATTTACGGTACTTTGGCGGCGTCGACCTGGCAAGGGAGCGCCGGGGAGTTGCTCGAGGCAGGGCGGGATGCGGAGCCCTGCGCAGCGCGGGCGAGCGGGGTGGGCACACGCGTGCTTTTGGGGAAAAAAACAGCCAGAAAGAAAAAAAAGTTGAAAAAAAGCACCCAACAACCCATAAAAAATTAAAATGCCTGCATTCCCTCGCGTCCCGCTTTCCATGCACCTTTTTTTCCACTTTTTACCTTCCCCAACGTATTTTATTGTTTTCACACTGAAATAAACCAATATTTAAAAAAATCCTCCCCCTCTTGCTTTGCAGATGCTCTTTCCACTCTCACTGCGGGAAGAGGAGGGGTGGGAAGGAAGATCTGTGGCGTTACTAGTGCAGAATATACTGCTGTAAGGTGGCCAGGCATGAGATACGTGTATGTGAGCGCGTTTATGTCCCTATATTTCTTGGGGTGGGGAGAGGAGGACAGGGACAACTGTATATATATTTTCTTCCTAAGAAATGAGGGCAGGGGAAATGGTACATGAATAATATATCCTGTATATGTGCGCGTGTCTGTGCATATGGAATATATACCGGCTGAATTCATGCTATAGCCCTGTTCTCCTCGCTTCTTTATTCGACACAGCTCATTAATGAAAGCAATTGATTACTCCAAATCATGCATTCTGCCTCCGAAGAGGGCCCGCAGCCCGAGAAGAAGCTGCATTTCCCCAATGCACGAAACTCACCTGGTCTGAGAAGGGAGAAAAATTAAAATTAAATTAAAAATTGGAGTAAAAGGTGCATAAAAGGTCCCAAATAGCCCCCAACCCACCGCACCTCCGTACGAGCCTGTTGCGGCCGCAATCATTCGTCTCCTTAAAAAGCCAGTAAACTTTATATGACACAATATCTGCTCGTAATTTCTGGGAGAGATAGTGTAAATCCGAGCGGGTTTAGTTAATAAAGGAGCAAATTAATGAGATGGCCCCGCTCGGTTGCGCGGCGGCCGCAGGGCCCCCACTGCCGTCGGGGATGGGGAGAGGAAAAAGGGGAGCGCTGCTGTTTTGGGGGCGGAAAACAGCGCATTTCCCCCTTCCCCTTAGACGTGATCTTCGCGGGCCGCTCTTTTTTTTTAATAAAATCTTTTACGGGATTTTTTATTTTTTTTATTATTCGACGGGGGGGTGAAGAGAGGAAAAAAAGGGAAAAAAAAGCCACGAAAGGCGGAACTTGCTGGTGGGTTTTGTCTCGGCTGCCACGGGAGGGGAGAGCAGCCCCCCCCACCTTCCCCTCCCTCGCTGCCAGCGCAATTTGGGGGCCCACGTGACCCCCCTCGGACCAATGGGGCGGAGCCGGGGGCTTAACTATGTTTAATGTCAGATAGCAATAAAGTAGAGCGCCTTTTGCGGCGCGGCCCGCGGAAATGGGCGAGCACAACCTCCTTAATCCCGGCTTCGTGGGACCTCTGGTGAACATCCACACGGGAGACACCTTCTACTTCCCCAATTTCCGAGCGTCGGGGGGCCAGCTGCCCGGCTTGCCGTCCCTCTCCTACCCTCGGCGGGACAACGTGTGCTCCTTGCCCTGGGCATCCTCGGAGCCTTGCAACGGCTACCCGCAACCCTACCTGAGTAGCCCCGTCTCCATTAACCCTTCCTTCGGCCGAGCCTGCGACCTCGCCCGCGTCGAGGAGAGCAAATGCTACTACCGGGAAAGCTGCCCCGACAGCGCCGCGCTCAAGAGGGACGAGAGGCCCCGGGACACCCCTTTGCTGCCCCTCGAGCCGGGTCTCCCCAGCGCCTTGGGGGGCAATTTCGGCAAATATGACTATGGGCCGGCCGAGGGGGGCCCCCACGACCCTCCTTCTTGTCAGTCTTTGGAGTCTGACTCCAGCTCTTCGCTGCTCAACGAAGGGAATAAAGGCACCGGGGGGGACCCGACGAGCATGGCCTCCCCCCTCAACCAAGGCGGCACTTTAAGCACCGGTGGTAAGGCACAGAGGACCCTCCCGTCGGGGGGAGTAAGGGCTTATCTTGGTTGTCTGGCCTGGCTGCAAGCC